GATAATGTAACAGTTATGATCGTAATATGAGATATGAAAACATCCAGTATTAAAAGTAAAGACGAAATATGGAAGTGGAAGAAAAACTCGAATGAGAAAGTAGGAAACAAAAATGGAGATAGGAGATGCTCGCGAGAACATTACGAAATCAAGAAAGTTAAGTAAAAATAAATTGAACGAAGGCTTTAATAAGGATGTACACATCTGAACGAGTGATGATGAAAAAAATAGGAAAAACGGAAGATAAGGAAACTGCAACAGAGAAACGGAAGGTAAGGAGTAAAACAAAAGAACAACGCTTCAACACACCTTTTTCGAAATATGAAAATATGAAGAAAATTCGGAGTGTACTTCATTATCATTATTAGCATTATCATTATTGACTTTATCTTTATAAATAGTATACTTTTAGTGTTATTCTCAGTATCATTATCATTATCATCACAATTATTTTATTTACTACTAACACTATTATCATCTCATGAATTGTTTTTATTCTTCTGATTATGGAAGGAGAAAAGAGAGGAGATAAAGGAACGAAGATATTTGGAAAAGGGAAGTAGACAGAAAGAAAAAAGGAAAGACGAGGAAAATGTGATGCATAACGGAAGTAGAAGAAAATGTGTAAGATTAGAGGACAAACAGAATTTTAATATGGCAAGGGAGGAGAAGGAAGTGAAATGGGGCATATGGAAGGGAACGAGAAAGGGCATAAGAGAAGGGAAAATATAAGGTTAAAGGAGACGAAAACAAAGAAAGAGGGACGATAAGAAGTAGGAAATTTAAGGGGAACAAGGAGGAACAAAGTCAAAGAAGACACAATCACAGGAACGAAGTGTGTGGAAGAAACAGTAAAAAAGTAATGTGACAGAGACGAAAGGGGGATAAGGCAAGGAAGAGAGAGGAAATGGGCGAATTGAAGCGAAAGAGGAGATAAGAGGGACGAGAGAACCAGGAAAGCGAGAGGAAAGAGAAGCCAGAAGGAGCTACAATAAATGGATCGAGAGAGAGAGAAAAAAAATAAGCAGAAAAGTGAAAAAAAGAATAAGCGGAGATGACACAAAGAAAAAAAGAAAAGAAGAAAAAAGGAAGAAGCAAGAAAAGAGTAGAAATAATGGAAAGGAAAAAGAAGAGATTTAAGAAGATAGAGGGAAGAGGAGAAATGGAGACAAATGTAAGGGACACTTACCATAATGCAAGAGATACATTTCCGGGCCGGAGGGGGGGGGGGGTCTGGGGGTCTGAGAGAGAGAATAGGAGACGTGAAAATAAATGAAAGAAGGAAGAAGAAGAAAGTAAAGTGTGAGGAGATGAGGAAGAGTCAGAGGAGTAAGATGAGAGAGATAAGAGCGAAAAGGGAGGTAGAGATGGAGTTGATAAAATAGGCAAAAATAAATAAATAAATAAATACGAAATAAGCGA